TACCATATAGCCATGGCTGTAGAGCCCTCCCCCGACCGCCGATCCCAACCGATCCCAAGCGATCTTGGCCGATCCGATCGAGAGCCGTGGCTCTGGGTGAATGTTCTTATGTGGCCACGGCGAATGATCAAAGCCAATGCCGAAATCCAAGTCAAGAGGCACACGGCGCGGAGATCGAAAGAGAATTGACCGCAATTATGCGATAAAGATAAAACAATGTGGTGTCATCTTTATGGTTCTTTTTCGTCGGCCAAGTTGGTAAGGTCCGATTCGGAATCCCCCGATTCACCCATTCCCAATGTGCGGGAGTGAGCGGGATGGCATCAAGGTGATAATCTATAATTGCCCTTGCTACAACAATTGTTCCTTTAATTCCACCGCCGGCGACGACAACAACGATGAAAAACAAGAAGAAAAAACATGAAAGACAAAAAGACAATCTGTCCTACTGTCGCGGCAGGAAGGCTGGAAGGATGGGTTTTCGAGGGTTCGGATAAAGGACCCCAGAATATTGGTATTAGTATTGTAGAGCCCCGGAATACGGAATACCGAACCGGGTTCCCAACACAGACATTTGGTAACACGTGAAACGAATGCGTTGACAGCTTGAGAGTGTCTCCGTGTTGCGTGTGTGTCTCCTCTCTTCTCTTTCTCTTCCTCTTGCCCTTTCTCCTCGTCTTTCTCTTTCTTTTTTTGTGTTTTCTGTGTGTGCCTGCGGTGGAAAAGTGATTAGGGATCAAAATATCGTTTATAACTCATAATGACCATGACAAATATTGCATTCATTGAGCTTCGCTTTAGGAGTCCGGCTTGCGGATCCCTTTCGGGGATGCCAATTTGGCTTTTTTTCAGATCCCTATTTCAGAAACATAACACAATGATAATATCATTATGATACATTTAAATGTTCTTTGACAAAAAAAAAAATATATATGAATGTATTATTTTTATTGTAGTTGTTGTGAAATATTTGTATATTTATTATATTTTTATTTTTATCTTGAGCAATCACATGTTCCAGATATTGTAGTCATTAATTTACTCTTATATTTAAAAATAATTGTTAAGTCCCTTAAAAACTCGGTTATGATGCTAAGAAATTTTTAAAAAAGGTCTAACCACTATTTTGATTGCTATTTTATAGCAAACATTTTACTATAATTGAAGTACAATATAAGGTTTTATCCATATATGGGTTTTATATACGATCTTATTGTTAGAGAGTTCAAGTCTTAACCTATGAAAATATAGTTCCATAATCAAAATATCTTAATGTTTATCTTCTTTTTAGATATCTGTCTAAATCCTTTTATTGTTCCCAAGCATAAGGTCTTGTTTGTGATACCTCTTTTGGAAACTAGACTTAAAATACCTTATTTCCTATAAATTCCCAATGATCTGGCTATTTTTCGGCTACTTTCTTTTTCGTAATTAAAGTGGCCACCTCTGTTTGGCTGTGTGCGGTCAGCAGTTGTGGTTGGGCAAGGGCAAGTCTGGTAGGCCAGCCCAACTGACCCTCAAGGACCGAGAAATTGAGGAAAGTAGATGGGGGTTGTGGAAAGTGCATGCACATGGACGGGCCCATATGGCACGGATCGCGATCGAGGGTTAAAACTCGTCGCAATAGCGTCATGTGATGTGACACACCCGAACCGCTAATGAAGGTTGGCTTTCGGGCGATTCGGTGGAGATCCAAGGACAAAGCGTAAAGTCGCGACTAATGGGTAATCGTTTAATCGCTTATCAAAATTGCGCCCATCGCCTTGACTATATCGGTTCCACATTAAGCACAATTAGAGTGGTCGTGCCGTCAATTAATTTATCTTCTGTTAATTACACTCGTTATTTGTTAAACATAAGGGTATATTGCATTCTTGATCGGAAACAACGAATGAGCGGATGTCTTTGGAAGTACAAGAGCTAGATTATGTCTATTGAACATGCCAACAGTCTAAATCCATCGGAATTTATGGTATGTAAGCTCTATGTATATGATATATCTACTTATGAGTAACATATTGCCATAGCATCATTCTTTTTTTAAAGTATTTCTTGATTTTAGAAGGAAGTTTTCACTCGCGCCTTGGGGTAGGCAACATATTTTTAAACGTGTCAAAAATTAATGGGTATCCCGTATTCGTCCCACGCGACCTTTTACATTTTTTTAAAATTACTATGGAGCAATTTCATGTTATCTAACCGTAATTAAGTTTCAAACTCACTGTGAAAAAAAGTACACTCACCAGAAAAATAAAATGATATAGGTACCCAATCTATTAATTAAATCATGGATATATCTTCATATAGAATGTTATATAATAGCATTACAATTTCATATACCATATAATTGTGTTATATATTATTATTATATTGTATAATATATTTATTTCTTTAAGAACTTTTAAGTTCTTTGATATAGTAACTTCACAGTGTAGTACAAAACGGAAGTGCGTTCAGTGTTAACTGCAGAATTCCCAATCAACATTCTCGTAAATTTGCCAATTGCCGACATACTTAACGCAATTGAGCCGAGAGATACGAACTCAACTCGAATGCAATTACAATAGATAAAAAGAGAAAAGCGAGTCAGTTAGGGAGTTATAAGGTTGGAGTGAGCCGAGTTCAAATGGGACAGGCCAGGCAGACTCGTAGGCCTGGTAGTCAACAGTTTTTTGATTTATTTGTATTTATGTTCCGATTTTTAGCGTTGTCACCTCGGTGAATTGCGCACTTGACTCGCTGACCTGAGAAAAGATGGGTAAAATGGTTAAAATATGGGTAGGGTAAGGAGCTTAAGGGTACGAAACACACATCTAAAATAAAAGGATGCGCCACCGAGGCTGGCAAAACAATGAGATTGCCGAATTTCAGAGAATGCCCTTTGGTAAACGTTTTACGCTCTAATCCCCCTGTTGCCGCCATAATTTCAACTTAATTTTTAATTTCTTATGTTATGTATAAGCACTCGATAATTCTCGATGTACCGATATCAGAAATATCGACCCATTTATCTGTTTAAGAACCATCCCTAGAACCGGCAGAAGCGAAAGAAGAAAAAAAAAAAGACAAAGTTTTTAAGCGTGCTCCGCAACGCCAAATGTAATACACATTGATTCGGAAGCTAAAATTTAAATAAAGTTTATTTCAAAAACGTAGTTTACCGCTATCCGTCTGTGCCTTCAATTTGGTAGTGTGGGCTGCTGTAAAACCAATTCAGTTTCGCTCTCAACATTCTTAAAAACTTTGTACACGCGTGGTTGTCGTTCTAACTGTACAATTACGAAGCGACGTATTTCCAATTAGCCATAATATTGTGAAATAGCGATCGCATCCCTTTCTTGAACGTTAGGTGAGAAAAACGTAATATGTAACGGAACCAACAAAACCCCAGAATATACGCACACAACTACAATTCTGCCACACGCCAAGCTTACATAGCCTTAAAAGTGAGCAGAGATGAGCAAAGAAGTGTGTAGAATATGCAAGAAAAAAGCGACAGGAACTGAAGAAAGTTGGGTCCAATGCGACAGTTGTGAAAGTTGGTACCACTTTCGCTGCGCAGGCGTCGACGACGACGTCGAGAACAACGATTGGAATTGCGATCCGTGCCTTGCTGGAGGTAGCTCCAAAAACCCACCTGGAAGGATATTACGATCACCGCCTCCAAATCAGTTCGACAACTCCAACATATTACCAAGCCAAAATAAGGTCGAGCAGCTAGTGGACAACCTCATCGATATGGACAAAACCAGCGACGGACACATTATTCCCGATGATTATTCTACCGCAAACAAAAACAAGCTTATGCTTGATATGCTGGAAGAAAAAAGAGCTTCCGAGCAGAGATTTATCGAGGAGAAGTATAAAATTTTACTGCAAATGAATACGCTAAACGTATCGACAGACGGGCTGTTTCAGGCGACGCCCGCATCACCGTCCAGTTCCCAAATCGCCGCAAGACAAGCTATACCCAAGGAGCTTCCTACGTTCAGCGGGGATCCTGAGGAGTGGCCAATGTTTATCAGTACATTCGAACACAGTACTTCCGCAGCAGGGTTCTCCAATGTTGAAAACATGCTCCGTCTACAAAAGTGCCTAAAAGGCAGGGCACGAGAAATGGTGAAGGATAAGCTTCTACTTCCTAGTCTAGTTCCGGAAGTAATGAGCACGCTAAAAATGTTCTTTGGCAGACCCGAGCACATCCTGGAGAGGATGATCGACAAGGTGAGGAAGCTTGCGCCACCCAAAGAAAAATTGGAATCCATAATAGAGTACGCGCTCGCAGTACGCAACATTTGCGCAACGATCGAAGCATGCAGCCTAACAGCGCACTTAAACAACCCAATGTTAGTCAAGGAGCTTGTAGATAAACTTCCAAGTAACCACAAACTAAACTGGGCGATGCACACCCGCGACGAATCGGTCCCTCCCATTAAAGCTTTCAGCGACTGGCTCTACAAAATAGCGCAGGCGGCGTCGACTGTCGTGACACCGTTTTCTCACAGGACAAGTTCTGTGAATACCCATGATAGATGCGCAGCCAGTTCGAGCCAGGTAACTACAGCCCAGCAACAGACTAATCCAAAATGCATTGCATGCGAATCCACAAATCATTGGGTAACACAATGCGAACAATTTAAATCCAGCGCCGTTGAACAGAGATGGCAAGTCGCTAAGGCCGGAAAGGCCTGCTTTCGATGCTTGAAGCTTCATCGAAACAATTGTCGACCAAAGGATTGCGGAGTAAACGGTTGTACAAGAAAGCATCATCCTCTACTCCATTCGGAAAATGTTCCCAATTTAGCCAACGAAACGGGAAATCAAAGACATGTAAGCACACACCAAGGCGATGTAGAAGGAAACCAGTTCTTCCGAATCGTACCCGTAACCCTACACTATGACGACAATGAAATCGAAGTTTTCGCCTTCCTGGATGAAGGATCATCTGTGACCCTAATAGACGCATCAATTTTTGACAAGCTCGGTATAAAAGGTACACCTTCACCGATTTGTTTGCAATGGACTGGAGAAACAACTCGGTTCGAAAATACTTCCGTGCGAGCATCAATCCAAATCTCAGGCGTTAGCTCAGAAAAACGTTACTGGCTCAACAACGTTCAGACTGTCAAAAATATTGCACTCCCAAAGCAAACCGTCGATATGGATGAGTTGCGCAGTAAGTACAGCTATCTAAAGGACCTGCCATTAGAGACCTACTCCACGCAGCCAATGTTATTAATTGGAACAAACAATTGGAAAATAGCCGTTCCTCGCAGGATCCGCGAAGGCAAATGGAACGACCCAATAGCGTCAAAGTGCATGTTAGGGTGGACTATCCAGGGATCAGCAAACTCAAACCGTCATGTATCTATGCACCACTGCGATTGCAACTGGCGAGAGCTTCACGATGAAGTCAAAGAACAATTCAACCTCGAGTCAATTTCGCCTAAAAAACTGCTTTCAAGCGAGGACAAACGAGCAGTCGAAATCCTAGAGCAGACTTGCCAAAACAAATGTGGCAAATACGAAGTTGGGCTTCTTTGGCGGAATGATCTTCAAAAACTTCCCGAGAGTCGCACTACAGCTCTAAAGCGCCTACAATGCATGAGATCCAGAATTCTGAGCGAACCGGATCTGTTTACAAAAATCGACGACCAAATCAAAAATCTTCTTGACAAAGGATACGCCAAGCAACTATCTGACGAGGAGGCGAAGAAAGAAGAAGTTCGCACTTGGTACTTACCCGTATTTATAGCCCTAAATCCGAATAAGCCTGGAAAGATAAGGCTGGTTTGGGATGCGGCAGCAAAAACAAACGGAGTATGCCTCAACGACTTTCTATTAAGCGGACCGGACTGCTTAAACCCACTCATCGACGTTCTCCTAGCCTTCAGAGTCGGAAAAGTCGCCGTAAGCGGCGACATCGCCGAAATGTTTCACAGGATCAACATTCGCCACGACGACATGCATTCTCAGCGCTTTCTTTGGTATGATGTCAACCGAAATAAGATAAACACTTACGTCATGCGTGCGATGACCTTTGGTATCAATTGTGCACCATTCATAGCCCACTACGTTCGCGACAAAAATGCAGAAGTCCACCGGCAGCAATTCCCCTTGGCCTTGGATGCGATTCAGCGCGCGCACTATGTCGACGACTTCATCGACAGTATGAGTGATGAACAGAAAGCCATCGAAATATCCAGCCAAGTAAGAGAGGTCCATTCCAGAGGCGGATTCGAAATTCGAAACTGGGCGTCAAATTCCAGTACAGTTCTCTCGTATCTTAAGAACGATGGAGACGCCAAAAAACAGGAGCCAGTGCAGTTCGGCGCTACAGAAAAGGTTTTGGGTATGTATTGGGACCCACATAAAGACATATTTAAGTTTGTTTGCAGATTCTCAAGACTTAAGCGAGACGTCCTTACCGATCCTGCAGTCCCAACAAAAAGAGAAGTCCTTCAGGTTCTAATGTCGATTTTCGACCCCTTGGGCCTACTGTCGTGTCATACGATCGGATTAAAAATCCTTCTGCAGAAAATCTGGCGATCAAACATCAGCTGGGACCAAGAGCTGCCAGAATCACTGTTGGAGGACTGGAATCAATGGAAGCTGTTGCTGCCTCAAGTGGCAACATTTAACATTCCGAGATGCTACTCCCCAAGGATGTCTTTTGGAACACGAATCGGCCTGCACACGTTCGTGGACGCTAGCGAGCATGCCTATTCTGCTGCTTGCTACCTGCGAGTGTCCCAAAAAGACGAGGTGGACGTTATGCTAGTAGCCGCGAAAAGCAAAGTGGCGCCACTAAAGCCACTATCTATTCCGCGCATGGAGCTTCAAGCCGCCGTGATGGGCTCACGCTTAGCAAACAAAATTATCAACGTACGTAACCTACGAGTCGACGATCTTACGTTCTGGTCGGATTCACGAACCGTTCTACAATGGCTGGTGATGGATCCTCGCAACTTTCAACAATTCGTGATGCACAGAATCGGCGAAGTCCTGGAGACCACTCGGGTGGATCAATGGCGATGGATCCCATCAAAACTCAACGTCGCAGACGGGGCAACGAAGGTCATCAAAAACCCTTGTGTGGACACATGGCTTTACGGACCAGAGTTTTTGAAAAGCGAACCCAGTAAGTGGCCAACAGTTCCATCACGAGCGACGGAGATCGATACGACCGAACTACGCAGACACGTCTTCACAACTCGTAGTGCGAACAAAGCCTTACTCGACGTGGAATATTTTTCCGATTGGCGGCGCCTATACAGAGCCGTCGCAAACATGTCTCTATATATTCAGCGACTTCAAGCTAAATGCCAAAGGACTGACATGCCGTCAGCAGTGACCGAATTTCACGTCAAGAAAGCGCAGACCCTACTATACAAAGAAGCACAGAGGCTCGAGTTCTCGGATGAAATCCATTCATTGATTAGCAAAAAACCAATGAGCGCAAAAAGCAGATTGACTGGATTAAACGCATATCTGGACGATAACGGAATCCTTCGCACTAAAGGACGAGTGAACGCTGTGGGATATACTATGGACGCTATAATATTGCCACCAGAGAGCCGAGTAACATTTTTATTAGTCCGGTTCTATCACGAAAAATATCATCACCTCGCTCACGAAACCGTGATAAATGATATAAAATCCAAATTTTATATTCTGCGCCTAAGAGTACTGCACAAATCCGTAAGAAAAGCCTGCCAGTTATGTAAAATTCGTCGCGCAATGCCACAGCCTCCACAAATGGCCCCGGTTCCAAAAGCTAGGTTGACCAGTTTCGAAAAACCATTCACGTGCACCGGCGTTGATTATTTTGGGCCTATCCTAGTCAACGTTGGAAGACGCAAAGAGAAGAGATGGGTTGCGCTGTTTACCTGCTTAACCCTGCGTGCAGTCCACTTCGAGATCGCTCACAGCCTCGATACAAGCTCCTGTGTGATGTGTTTCACGAATTTCATGGCACTACGTGGGACACCAAGAGAAATTTATTCTGATAATGGCACTAACTTCAAGGCCACGGAGAAAGCATTACGAGAGGAGCTGATCAAGATCGACTTCGACAAAATTACAATCAAGTTCGACGGCATTAAATGGAAATTTAACCCTCCAGGAGCCCCTCACATGGGTGGTGCTTGGGAAAGATTAGTCCGCACAACCAAAACAGTCCTAAAAAGCATCTGCCCGAATTACACATTCAACGACGAAAGCCTGAGGTGTGCTTTAATGGAAGCACAGTTCATCATAAACTCACGTCCGTTAACTTTCGTCAGCCTGGACTCCGAGGACGACTCCGCGCTGACTCCAAACCACCTGCTAATGGGCTCATCAAATGGATACAAACCAATCAAGGAAGAGAAGATGAATTTAAGACGTCATTGGAACGAGGTTAAACTTTTTGGAGATCGCTTTTGGCAACGCTGGGTGAAGGAGTTCACACCGGTACTTACTAGACGGACAAAATGGTTCGAAAGATGTCCCCCTATATCAGTCGGAAGCGTTGTCATTATCGTCGACGAAAACTTGCCTAGAAACTTATGGCTTAAGGGCCGCGTGACCAACACTATCCCCGCCAAGGACGGACAAGTTCGTCGCGCCACTATTAAAACGCAGCATGGGATCCTCGATCGACCAGCCACAAAGATTGCGGTCTTAGATGTCGGCTTAGAAGATGGTAACTGACCCCCTAGGATCAATTACAGGAGGGGGAATGTTGCCGCCATAATTTCAACTTAATTTTTAATTTCTTATGTTATGTATAAGCACTCGATAATTCTCGATGTACCGATATCAGAAATATCGACCCATTTATCTGTTTAAGAACCATCCCTAGAACCGGCAGAAGCGAAAGAAGAAAAAAAAAAAGACAAAGTTTTTAAGCGTGCTCCGCAACGCCAAATGTAATACACATTGATTCGGAAGCTAAAATTTAAATAAAGTTTATTTCAAAAACGTAGTTTACCGCTATCCGTCTGTGCCTTCAATTTGGTAGTGTGGGCTGCTGTAAAACCAATTCAGTTTCGCTCTCAACACCCCCATTGTGTGAAGGGCAGACATGTGTGCAGAAGATCGGTTTTTTTTATTTAGTTTTGAGAACCTGCTGCTGCTGCTGCCGACACCCTTGATTCTAAAACTAATTCTGATCCCGGTCCCAAAGATGACAGCTAGGTGCGGGATTTTTGTCATTTGTTGCCCTGGCCCTAAGTCAATCCTCATCGGCCACTTGACTCGAAATGCCCATTACCACACACTTTCCACACTCTCCTCTCTCCCATCCTCACACATCCCATACCTTGGGTTCCAGCATTTGGGCCCAGTTTATTGGGATTTGGCTTACTACACACAGAGGTCCCAGGCGCAGATGCAATCGAAGCTGGTCCAGACGGAAATTCGAATCGCCGCAGGTCATCAGCTGCATGGAACCTCCAGTTCCAGTTCCAGTCGCAAGTCCAAGTCCCAGTACCAACCTGATCCTCCCCCAAGTAGTGATCCTATCCGATCCCAACCGAACCGAACTGAACTGAACTGAACCGAACGAAACGCTCTCCCTCGCGATGAGTTGGCCGATAAAGGCATTCGGAGTTGGCCGATCGATTGGTCCCTAAGTAGCTTGCACCTGGCCAAGTGCCCCTCGATAACTCCACCAGCTTAACCACCCACCGCAGTTGGTATAATGGGATCTCGAAGCTCATGAGCAGTTGGGCAACACTCTTGTAACATATATCAACCCTGTGAGAACCCTTTTATAAAGCAGGATGCAGCTTTTGCATGGGTATGTCATCTTATCTTATAACTGTTTGTTGTTATAAGAGTATTTATCATATGGGGTCATATATGGTATATTGTTTTTCCATATATCATTTTGAGGTAATTGTAAAATGTGTTTAAAATGTTTCATATAATATCTTAGTTTTTAGAAAAAGAAAAAACTTTTTTATAAAGAAAGATCTAGCTTTCACAATGGTGCGCCGTAATATCTCATTACTTTCTATTGTATCAAAACCCTTATATAATGTATTATATTTCATTTTTGCATTTATAATTTTAAGATGACAGTAAAAATATATTAAAATCAGATCCTATGATACCTTAGTTTCTAGGGGAATGATTATTACAACCCAGGAATGTTATCAATATAAAGTAAATTTCAAAAATATTCACAACTCTCAAGAAAATATTTTTTTTTTCGATATATAATTTTAAGTTAAGACTAAAATGGTATACATTCCTTTCCTATGGTGATATGATATCTTAGTTTCTTGAAGTTTGGCTTGTATTTTTTAAAAATAAGAAATATTTGTGAATCGAACAGTTCGTAATCATAGGAAATTATAGGTACAGAGCAATCCTTAAATGCACCACGTCCCACCTCATCCAGTCACCAGGTGAAATCTCCATTAACACACCAAAGTGCACATCTGCTAAACCCCAGCTTGGGGCCCCAACTAAGTCATTGCCGATCGTGAGAACTTGGCTTAATTGATTTCTACAGGCCTGGCCAATGAACGGCATCAGTGGAATCCGAATCGAGTGTTGAGTGTTGAGTTCTGAGTGCCACATATGGGGCAGCTTTGGATTGCACAAGTTCAAATGCCACGCATGACCGTCACAAATCCAAAGTAATCTCCGGTTAGTTTTTTCACAATGCAAATGGGAATTTCAAGAGATGCTGGAAACATTCTCTGCTAAAAAGAAAGAAATTCTTTAACTAGTTATACTAAAATTCTTGATGGTATTTAAAATTTTTTGGATTTTTAAATTAGCTGGGGTAAAACCGACATCACCCCAAAAATCGTAACTTTTCCATTTTAAGAGAGCTGCTTAACAAATTTTGATACCATATGATTTTATTACTTTTTATCCAGTACTTTCAATGATTTTTCCAAGTGCCTAAGAACTTTTTGGAGCTGCCTTGAATGAGGCTATATATGTATGTGCATCTGTGTTATCTGCAGGAAAAGAACTACGCTTTTTGGCCCGCGGCATGTTCATGCTATTTTTTATTATTCGTCCTCCCTAAGTGATCGATCGAAATTAAATAAGAAAAGTAGGCACAACGGGAAGGGGCAGGCGGTAGGAAAATGCCCAGTCGCCGTGGATCTGGTCCCACAAAAAGTGTCTGCGGAGCTGGAAGAGCGATGGTTAATGTGCGTTTAGATACCAAGACATGTAATTTCGCAGCTTTTGCTTGGAACTCGGCCCTTCGCGCAGTCGAAATCACTGGATCTGGTCAAAGTGGAGGAGCATTTCTGACTTTGCTGGACACACTTGTCAATACCGAGGACCCAGGATTATCTCACCCATCGACAGTTGGCGATTTAGCCTGCACTCAGAAAAATCAGGTGTAACTTAGACTTTCAAAATATATTTTAGTTTGATTTAAAACAAGGGAGCAAACTTAGCATAATATAGAATGTATATTTATTGAAAGCAATGATCTCTTAAATGATATATCAACTAACTTATCGGTTTGAAAGCTAAGGTTTTATTACAAACTTTATAAATTACTATATCTTTCAAAAGCTTTTATTTAGGAAAATTCTTTTTTTTACTTATAGAACCTTTTACATTAATATTTTAATAATAATATTTTTTATTTTAAGGTTCCTTTTTTAGCCTTTAGGAGTTGGTATCAAATGGTTGAAACTTCTATACGAAAGTATGATCTTCGTTGCAAGAAATCGGTTCTTTCTGTA